CCATTACAGTTACAGAGGCTGAGGTGAGTGAAGCAACACCAACCAAAAGACACAGCTACTGCTATGAGAAAGTGTGCTCAGCCATAGATTGCAGACATAGTTTTGCATCTGACAACTGAGTAACCATCTGGGTGAGCTTATCTGAATAGTACACTTGCTTAGGTATGTTTTCTGAATTCATGTAAAAAAAAATCAGTGCGTTTCTTGGAAGACAGATATAAACAGCAGAGGGCAGACCAGCTGTTTTTTTCCTGTCTTACATTTCTGTAAACATAAAAGCAAACATAAAGCAAATGGGCTGCAGGGTTTTTTTTTAATTTCGGAATACAAGGTTTAGTCCAGAATTTCACCAGGGCCTTGATTAAAAATTTCTAGCAATACTATCTCAAAATTGTTATGCTATTACAGAAGTTAGGTGATCGTATTTGTGGTTGACAGACTGTTTTAACTAGAGCTAAAGCTCTAAGTGATTGGTGAGAAGTCAGACCACTGTTTTGTATTCCAAGTCACCTAGACGGGTCTATAGCTAACAGTCAACTTTATACCCACTTGCAAAAATGTGGTTTTCTGCTTGATGGTGCAATGACAAGATGTCACCTGCCAACCTGGAACACTTGATACATTCCATCATCATTTTAAAAATATCTAATTTTATTTTTCTTTTTAATTGGGTTTAATCTTTGGGCTGAAAGGAGTAGATGCCATTCAGCTGCTAAAATGTCAGCATGTGAGGCAACAAGTATTTGTTCACCTCCATGAACAGAATGAAGGCTTTTTTTTTAATTGCATGCAGGGATTTCAGGTTTCTGTATTGTGATAAAAATTATAAAAGTCCTGAACTAAAGGAAGTATAGGGATTGGGGCTTTATTTTTGGTTTGGGGAAATGTTTCGTCTTCATAGTGTGTATTAGTATAGGTCATAATGAAAATTTTTCAAAGACAAGGGGCGTTACTGATGAACACTTAAAGACATTAATTTCTTTATGTTAAAAGATTGCTGTCCATTTTGTTGTAAGAAAGTCTAAAGTATCTCCTATGTCTCCAAAGTAATCCTGGTAGTTTTCAGACATGCCATGTATTAGTCCTTATAACATTTGCCTTAGTATTGTTTCTCTTCTTTCCCATGATAAATACAGATGAAACGACCAAACACTCTGAGACTGTGTATCTGCTGAAATATTCGACTAAATGTAAAGGCTGTTAACAGGTCCCTTCTTAGTCCAGTTTGTAATGGGTTTTTCTTACTCTCACACACATATAGCCTTCACTTTCTGCTTTAGAAACTGTTCTGAGCCTTTTGTACAGTTTTACCAGTTTCAAGGCAGAAATTGTGAAATAATGACAAATGCTGTAAAAAAAATTTACATTTTCCTAAGTAAAAAATATACCAGACAACATCTGAAAGCGTAAGAAAATTTTCCCCTACAAACATATATTAAAGTTGGCACACCCATGGAAGTATTTTCAAATTATTTAAACAGAATAATCTTATTTTTAAAATCAGAATTCCATATCACAAATTTCCAAGAAATGAATGCTAAGCTAGAACTTAATGTAGTGTGTGAATGTTCAATGTACAAGCCAATATAGTATATTAAGTGACTTGAATGATTTTTCCTAACTGGTTTGCAACTAATAGATCATATTGAATGTTTTTATGTAAACTTTGTATTGTTGGGAGAACCTACCCAATCAGAGATTTATATTTTCATAAATGTCAAATTTAGTTAAATTTTGTTACAGAGTTGTTAAACTAGAAATCTATTGCAGTCTTCAAACAAATATACAGTCTTGTGTATGCATTGTTTGTACTAATAAACTGTGGAAGCAGACTTGTATGTGTCCATTAATTTCATGGAAATTCCACTCAGGCAGAGGGACATATGGCCTTCACAGCTTCCTTTGGCCTGTACATAAATAATGTTTAAGGACAATATTGATAAGGAAAAATTCCAGTATTTTATCCATGGCAGCTAACTAAAGCAAGTGTTCAGAATACAATGAGATTTGCCATTAAATTTTACCATTCTTAGATAACATTTATGACTAGATTGCATACTGACAGTATGCAAATCAACAGACATGAAGGCTGTTGTCATCAACCCAGTAAAAGCACAAAAAAAAGGGACCTGAAACCCCACTCTGATTCAGACCTGTGAAGCTATGGGAAGAGGCACCACAGTTCCCAGGATCCTGTCCCAAAAGAGGCACCTTCCACCTTCTTTCAAACACAGTGCATGACTTGCGCATTTTGGCCCTGAACTCCCTTGTCCATAAGCAATGTAATACTGGAAAGTTAGTTCTTTCATTACCTTGGAAGGGTAAAATACATCCTCTGTCTGCCAGGAGAATGGCTGATTTGTAATTACATTACATCCTGTGATGTAATCACAGAACCACAGAATATTCTGAGTTGGATGGGACCCTCAGTGATCATTAAGTCCAACTCCTAGCCTTGGATAGGCCACCCCACAGAATCACACCTTGTGCCTAACCTATCTCATTCAGCTTGCCAGCTTTCTGAATCAATTTCTCAGGGGCCAGACTCCTCACACTGGGCCTATACAGCAGACACAGGGTTCTGAATGGCTGCAGGCTGCTGATAACTTGCTACTGCAAGAGCGACTACTCCACAGCCCTTCACAAATCTGTCCCCAAGTATGTGTATCCAGTGGTACTGAGACAAAATATTTCCTCCAGCAATGAGCCATTCAAATACCAAGTGCTGTTCTACCCCTACATAGAAATAGTGCCATTTACTTTTTGTTAATAAGCACTATTCATGTCTCTAGAACAAAGCTTTCATTTATCTTTTAGATAAAGTGCATTTATAAACAAGCTCAGGTGGAGACTGTATTTTTTGACACAGAAGATTCTAGGAATAGGCTGTAGCTGCAAGAAAGCTTTAACAGGGAATTAGCCGGAAATTCTTAGGCAGACAAAGGTAAGCCAGAGGTCAGCTAGAAAAAATATTTTTATCAGTCATTTCCTTTGCACCACAGCTGGGGAATGCATGGCCCGTGACTTCATTTCAAATGGCCTGTGGCCATTTGACTTTTTTTTCACATTATTATCAGATAACATCAAAATGTGGGTTAACTTGTAGCCTTGGAAAAGTTTGCATTCAGAAGCATTCAGGTTTCAGTGGCTCCCCGGCCCTGATTTTTCCATGATGCACACTCAAGCCCTTTACCTCAGAAACAAAAGTATTGGCAATTTTGCAATGAGAATTTAAAGCAAATATTGGTTGCTGGAATGGTGTTTGTGTGCAGAGGGGACTGTTTCAGCTTAAAATTCTTAGAGTTTGCTCTTTGTCAAAAACTATTAATGTGTCTGTATAATACGTTATAAAATGGGTCCTCTGCCGCACTTCCCTAAAGTTGTTAACAACAATCTGCATTATTTCATTTTGTTGATTAAAGATTTAAAAATACCTCTTTCAATATAAATATTAAGACTGTAAAAGGACAGACTTCTGAAATCTATTTTTATTTCTTCTAATTTTTTTATTTCTAATCTGTTTTTTATTTCTTTGTCATACTTTTTTAATGCATTTTTCAATAAATCGTAAAATTAATTTTGTAGTCATCCATGTGTGGACTAGGGCCTCTGGATAGGTTTCATGAACAAGGGTTTGTCACTAAGAATCATTATAAAGTATTTATGCTACAAATATAACCTACTTCAGGTTCCTGTAGCCTCTTATGGACATTACTCTTCCTAGAGCACCACATGGCTGCAGGGAGACCACTGAGCTACATTTTTTTCCTGTGGTTTACTTTCCCAGCCTGGTTACAGAACACCATTCCTTGCAATTTGGAGTTAGTCTCCTGGTTTTTATGACATGAACTGATGCTCTCTCAGTGTGAGTCCAATTCATAATCTCAATTTCAACAGGCAGGTCAAAGGCTGCAGGAATAGTCATCACGATCCTAGACAAGGCAGGAGGAGGCCTTTTATCATGTGTTTCTCCAGAAGGGGCAGTTTGAACCATCACCCTCCTGTGAAAGGTTTCACTATCAAGGACAAGCTATACAGTGCTCAATTCACTTGAAAACAGAGGCCAATAAGCAGAAAAGTGTGATGGAATGTTTCCAGTCCAGTATAATATGCTCTTAAAATCACACATTTCCCAAAGTGATTGTTAAAATCTGCCCCTACCAAGCTCTTCTCCCTGCCTCTGCTGTCTGTCATCCCAAGCCATGCTGCCCCTGCTTGCCAGGGTGGGTGAAGCTCCCATCCCGACTCAGCAAAGCCCCTCATGTGTTCCCAGCCATGGTACACTCTCCATTTGCAGTGCCTGCTCTTTGGTGGTAGCTCACTGGTCTCCTCTCCAGCCTCAGCAGGGAATATACAAAAATGGATTTAAGGCGTGTTCACATGTTCCCACTGTCAGAGCTTTCACCGCATAGTACTGTATAAATAAAATCATCTGCCTGCTCTCCTACTACATCTCTGATTACACATGCATTTCAGTGCATGTGAGAAAGCTTCTAGACTAAAATAGATCTAGTTAGCATATTAAAGTGATATACACAGAATTGCAAGGTGAGAGATGAAGCAAAAATCCAGACATGCTGTAGCACAGATGAAAACAGAACATCTGCAAAGCAACTGGATAGTTTGCTGCCATTTGTCTACATTATCCCATTGCTTGCTAGTAAATTGCCCAGCACTTCCCACTGTAATATCACATTGACAATAGCATATAAAGTTAGCCTTTTAGGCTGCAGTTTTTCGAGGCAGCCTTCTATCTCAGCAGGAACGTTCTCCAGAAAACTACAGCCAAAACAGTAGACTAAGGTACAAGAATGAGATTAGAGGGAAAAGAGGGCTGAAGGCTGAATGTCTCAACTACTTTTCCTTTGAAAAAATGTCACATCCGTGTTATTGAACAACCACTATGTGGTGAGACAAGTGATCATTTCGTGCAAGACATATCTGTGAAAACCTGTCAGGCAATGAACCCAAAAGAATCCCAGCGGTTCGCACATACTCACAGAAAGCTATAGCGTTCAGAAGCACAGCACGGTTGGGATTGCAGGGGCTGGGCCAGAACTTCTCTGCTACGACAGGAATACCGGGTGCTGGTTCGAGAAATCTCAAGAATGAACAGCTGTGGAACGACAAAAAAATACAGTAGCCGTGGAAGGGGTCTGAAAAGGATGCCAAGCATGAGGAGAAGGGGGAAGGCAGCCTCACTGTGTTTGCTCTGAGTGGCCTCCTGGCTTAAAACGGAGCTTTTCAACTGGACATTTTTCCACCTGTTAGCCCACCTCATTAGCCCAGCAGCCATAAGAACAATGATAAAATTACCACAGAGCTGGCCATGGGGTGACCTCCGGCTGGGCAGGACCATAAGGCTGGTACAAGCACACACTCTGCACAGGGCTGCTCACAGCTGCAGATCCATGCTGCAGGGCAGCCCTAAACTGTCTGCATCTCCTGCCTCCATCACCTTCCCTCACAACTTGGGGATATGTTAGCATGACAATCCTTTATTTACTGACCAGAAAGCCTTTGGAGAGTTTAGTGAAGGCTTTGTACTAAGAAACTCCCTGGATCTTCAGGTCCATTTCCAGCTAAAACTAATGGTTTGCAGGAGAAAAATATTTAAAATGTGCCAAAGACCTGTTGCAGAGCTCTGTAGCACGCTAGCTTATAGACTACAAATGATGCTTGGTCTTCACGTTATCACTTAGTTGTCTGCTCAAAATAATAATTTCCAAAGCAGCTTTTATTCATTTCTATGCTGGCACATGACGTTTCTGCCCCTATGTGTGCTGGCTCCTGCAGCGGCAGGCTAGGGCCAGGCGGCACATCCGAGTCCCTGCTCCGGGCACGGGACCTGCCTGCCCCAGCCCGCCGCTGACTGCGGAGGGTACGAGGGGAAGTACGGCAGGGCAAAGCACGCCCTTGGTGATTTTAATCCAACACCCTCCTTCCACAGGGAAGGCGAGGATGCAATCCCTGCAAGGCAGGGAGGCAACTGTAAATCCGGCATTATTTAGAGTGGGAACAGCACGCCTACTCCATGCAGCGGCCAAACTTCATTTAAGTGCTTCCATGAGGCTTAACACAAAAAAAAAAAAAAAAAACACCAAAAAAAAAAACCCACAAAAAAAAAAAAAAAAACACAAAAAAAACCCCAACAAAACACCCACAACCACACCCCAAGGGTATCGAGAAGGCTTTGTTAGCCCTGCTTTGCACCCCCCACCCCCCGGCTGCGACACGGGCAATCTTAGTGCCAGGTCTTTCCCGGAGGTTGTTTCACAGTTTCCAGGTACATCGACATACCTTAAAGATCACACATGACCCAGGTGCTTGCCTAACTTAAACCTCCCCTCCTGTACAAGGAAATCTCTCTCAACTGGCTGTGGCAACAGAACATCTTTCATATCACTTCTGGAAACACCACGCTCAAATCAAAATGACTCCAGGAAAGTCGGCAGCTTTCAAAGGTAAATGTGAGGCGATGCCTGCAAATACACCTCAGAGCTGAGTTTCTCTTTAGAGAATCCCACAAAACAGTGGGGAATAAATGTCATTGCCAGGCAACATGCAACAGAGGAATTTCTGCCAAATCCCTCCAGCACTATTTGTGATATGGGGAGATTTAATTTAAAGAATATGCAAATGGCAGCATGAATACACTGACAGGCTCGGGCATTGTTGTGGTCGCTGTGACTGTCCCGGAGGAAAGGAATTATGTGGCACGTGCTCTTCCGCTTCTCCTTCTTCTAACCCTGGCCAGAAACGGTGAGTTCTATCAGGTTTTTATCCAGCTTGCAGGTAAAGGGTTACAGATTATAGGAAGTATTAAATGCAAACTTTAAAGGATTTTATTTTCATCTACAGTCACATGATGCCTTAATACCCAATGACACTAACTACAGTGTCTCATTAAGAGGTCATGCAAACTCCCAAGCTAAACAAGGCATTCTTACATATTTAACATTCAAATGCAGAAGCCAAGCTAAGCCATGGAAGATTGTAATCAGGAAAAGCTACACTTCCTGATCCACATAAATGCTACAGGTAGGAAAAGTTCTTTTAAACTTTTAACATTGTGCTTTCTAGAGAAACTGTTTACAGAACATATTTTGTACTGTCTTTTCTACCTTTCAAAACAGTCTAAAAATATTATACTGAAAATATCTGATCTCACTTGTTCCACCTGTTGTAGAGTCAGGATTGTTTTTACACTCAGAAATAGAGTTGGCTCAGTGAAAATCCAAAGACAACATTTTTTAAGCCAAACCTATTTAAAAAACTATGTTTTTAAAGATCTCTTAGTTATTGAAACGGTTAAGTTGGAGTATGTGGGGTAAAGGTGGAGTTAATATGTCTTTGATGTCTGAAATGAAGGGATTTAGTACTCTTCTAACTTACTTATATCATGAATTGCATATTGTTTCAGTCACACCAATCCCACTGTATTTTAACATATTTGACTTTCTCAATGAACTTACATGATTTCTAAATTCCCCTTCTAGAATTTGGTACATTTAAAAATAAAATCTTACAAGCAAATGAAAGACAGATGGGGAGTACTACAGTGTTCCATAAAAGGAGAATAAAATTGCAAAATACAGAGTAAGAGGAAAGTCAGTTAAAAGCAGTTTATTTTAAATTGAGAAGTTAAATTGCATTAAAGGATACCAATTTTCACATGGCACGATAAAGTTTCACTGACAATTACTGGCAATATTGCAGGAGTTAATATTTTTTACTTGCACTGAAGGAGTTTTCCAGTCTACAGCATTAGCATTTTTATCACAAAGATCTTTTTCTCATCCCAATTTTTGTTAAACTCTAATTGTTTTCAGACAGTGTTCTAAATACTCCATTTTTAATACCTCTATAGGAATTTAAAGACTGCATTCTAGAGAGTTACAAAATCCAAATTTACTAAAGATCTCTAGTGCATCACAGGATTGTCACAGCCTTAGGATTCCCACCGCTCAAAAGCAGCAAATGTTGTTTATTGTTTTCTTTCTACAATGGTTGGGTATTGATTGCTGGTAATGTAATTTTTCCATAGTTCATTCTATAAAACACATCTCTTTTTCTTGTTTCCACATAATGCTAGAAGATACCAAAAGAAGTGGAGAATAATACCTGAAGCAACTTGCTTCAGATAAGCTCTCAACTTTCTTTGGGGAAAAAAAGGGGGATGTCTTTACTGGTATTTAAAATAAATTTGAGTCCAAACAAGTTTACCAGTGGCACTTCAAAAAATTGTCATTCACTTTCAGGTTGCCCATCTTGAAATGTAGTAGGTCTCATGTTGAGGAGGGCTAAGACCTGAGCACAGCCTAGATCAGCCTGAGCCAGGAAGTGTCTCTTAATCAAACTCACTGTACCAACGTCCTGACAAGAGCAGCTCCCAACTGTGCGAATTGGAGTGCAGCAATAAACCACTACGCTTCAAAAGAACCGCTCTGAGCTTACTATAACTGACTTCTGAGCCTATATTATTTACAAAAATCTATTTAGAAACTGTGGCAGATAAGGGGCTTATTTACTAAGCTATATTTATATCTCGGGAGAGGAACACTGTAGCTCCCAGATCAACAGGCAACCACAGGCTTTCACTGAGAAGAGCATTGCATCCAAAACATGAAAAGCAGCCTGCCATAGCCAGTCTCTTCTAAGAAATGTTTGTACAAGTTGCATGTATCATGGTAAACCAGCTTAGTAACTCAGTAGTTAAATTTGTTGAACATTAATTACACAAAGTGTCTTTGTAGGGTGGAAGGTACAATGCACACTGAAGTTACTCTGTGACTGAAAAGAGAGTGGCAATTGAATGAGAGAGAGCCTTCCTTAACTCCTTTCCTAAAGAAAGGAATACAAATGAGGCACTTGCTATCAAGCACTCTAGTAGTTCAGATTTTTTTTTATGTCCACAATTTTCCTCTTGGTGCAGAAATTTGTACTGCTCTAATTATTACCTTTTATTCTTTTCTGATGAAACAAACAAACCTATTTTCTTGGTTTGTCACATCAATATGGAATCAAACGCAGTGTTGTTTCACAGAGAAGACACAAATCAAATACTTCCTGCTCACAACCAAAAGAAGAAAGAGATTTTTGGAAAATGAGATAATTGGAAACCTAAGGGAGAATTTTTCTCTAGAATTTTGGGGAAAGCCAAGTAGATATAAAAATCAAAACACTGTCAGAAGTTTAGAATAGTTTTCTGCTTACCCCAAAGCTAAGACAAGCATTGATCAAAAGGCAATCCAGATCTTCCAGTTTGCAGATTTCAGGGAACTTGTACCATATTTAAGGTTAATACTGAAAATCAACCAGTTGATTTTTGCACAGCTCTAGGTAGGTGGGAAGACAGAGCAAATTTTCAAGTGAAGGGAATAATTACTTACTTCCTTGGAAATCCTGGTTAAAAGTGGTTCACTGTGCAAGGCAAACATTTGTGAGTGTTGAGGCCCTTCTCTAACCACAGTCAAGGAAACAAACTTGCTAAAAGTATTTGCTCTCAGACTTTACTGAATGAAAGCTAAAGAAAGCCTTTCTTCACATCTTTCAGGAAGGGATGGTCTTTTGCTGTGTTTGCACTGTATCTAGTTAAACATGGCCTCAGCATTGTCTACATCTTTCACTGATAGTGTTTCACAAGGGACAGGGGTGGGGGAAACACCCAACCCACTGAAACGTGATGAAATGTAGTCAGGCAATAAATATTTGTTTGGAGCTTAAAATTTCTTCTTCAGACCCTGTCTTTCTGAGGATTATATATGATCACCTGTCAGCAGAGTATGCCCCCATGCCTTCTACACAGCAGTGATGGTGGGGAGGGCACAGCTAACCAGAGCAGGTGGCCAAATCCCACCGCTCCTTAACCAGGAGCACCTCATTTAGCATCTGACCATGCTGGAGTCCAAATCCAGCATGATGTCAAAACTTCATGTCCAAGCAATGATGCACGAAAATTGTTGATTTTTGCTGACCTACAGAACAGGGCTGGCAAGCAGGATGTATTGCTAAGGAGAACAGGTACAAAACACAATGCAATTTTACCTATTGAAAGTTTGATATCAAAATGGACAAAATAATTGAGTTACTGTAGAAAGGTCAAAAGGGATTGCT